GAGAATTACATGCTTGTCTTCTCAACGCAAAATAGAATGAAAACTGTTATAATAAACCGGATTAGTAATTTTCCCCCGACCTGTTATTTTGTTTCCACCGAGTTCACGAGAATCCAGCAAGCTAAAATAAGAGAAACTGATATGAAGACAGACAGAAAGAAGGACTCATAAAGGTGTGCAAGGGACCGTAAATATAATTAAAAAACTAAACTGCAACATTTTCAGCAAATAATTCGAGGAAGCGTTTTTCCCCTATGGAGATTATTCACTATTTTCATACTTGTTTTTATAGTTTATATACATATTTTTAATATCGGTTAACAATATAGATAGCCATGCATATGTACTTACATTTTCATTGTACAATTTATTTATCAGTACTGTTGCTTTATGATAATCACTAATATAATTACCATTACTATCATTATCATCTTTATCATTACTACTTTTAATTATAGTAATACAACTATTACTGTTACGATTACTATCATTATGATTTTATCACCATTATTATTATTACTATCATCATTTTATCATCATTATGATCATTATTATTAGCATTATCAATATTATCATTGTTATTATCACTGATTCATCATCACAACATCATCACCACCTTTGTCATCGCTGTCATTATCATCACCATTAACATTACGAATTCCTCTATCGTCAGACTCCCTCGCACCGCCAGCGTCATGCTCAGCGTGGCGGGAAAATGACAACCACACGACACCAATTATTTTCTTTCCTCGTGTTATTAATTCACTCAAATAATACGGTGACGCTAGCGGTTGATGACGCCAAGACCTCAACAGGCACGTAACAGAAGAAGAAAAGCTACATTAACGGAAAATACGTGTTGGTAATGCAAACAAGCGATGGCCTAAAAGAACGCGTGTATTTATGTAGGAGAAGTGACGGTTAGAATTGGAAGGAAGGATAAAGAAAGGGGAAAAAGAAAAATAGGAGAGACAAAAATGAGTAATAAAAAGCAATACAAGCACAGAATAAAAGAAAGGACAGCATTTCCAATACGGGCTTCTGATAAAAGACTGTATTGCTGAAGGTAAATCGCTCCAGAATCTATAACGGTCTGTTCAGGAGGCGATACAAGCATATCGGATATCAATACCCTATTCGCTATAACACGGGAGTAAATTCTCCCTTCCAACATAACACTGGGAGTTAAATTACCTGAAAATTACTAACGTTTAAGGTTTCTGCCGAGGGGATAGTTAAACGCTGCAAGGCCTTCGTAAACACTGGAAAGACAAGGACCCAGAAAGGCGGGGAGAGCGAGCGAGCAAGCGGAAGATATATGTGGATATATATATATATATATATATATATATATATATATACATATACATATATACATGCATATATATATATACACACATATATATACATATATATATGTGTGTGTGTATGTGTGTGCATACACACATATTATACATACCTACATACATACATACATAGACACACGCACACATAATCATGTACAGAATATGTAATATGCTATATGTAATATGCTATATGTAAAATATATATATACATACATATATATATATATATATATATATATATATATATATATATATATATATATATATATATATATATATATATATATATATATATATATATATGCACAAAATATGCAATATGCTATATGCAATATGTACATAGATATGCATATATACATACATACATGATATATACACACACGCGCGCACGTTTATATGTATGTATATGTATATACATATATGTATGTATATGTATATACATATATATATATATATATATATATATATATATATATATATATATATATATATGTATGTATATACATATACATATATATATACACACACGCGCGCGCGCACGTTTATATATATATATATATATATATATAGTTAGATAGACATATGTACACACACACACACACACATATACACATAAACACACACACACACACACACATCCCTATTTATATATATATTGCATAAACATAACGAGAGAGAGAAGAGTGTGAGAGAGAGGTACATGAGGGTTAGATCAGACGGAAAAACAAACAGATAGACAGACAAACAGACATGTAGATAGATAGATAGATAGATCTCCCATGTGGGTGTATGCGTGCTCAATCAATTTATCGAAGGAGAAAAAAAAATACAGCAATTCCAACATAACAGGACACGGTACTAAAAATACATCGCTGAGTGACCTCCCCCTCCCCCCCGCCGGTGACCCCACGATTCCCCGGCGACAGCACTGCCCCGAGACTTTCCAGACTGATGACGTCACAGAGCCAAATGTGACCCTGGCAAGGTCGCTTTGCATCAGAACCCTCGCGTGTTCTCTGTTGCATGATTTCTGTTGCATGATTTCCATTAATGTTGAAATGATGATTGCCATTGCAGTCAAGTTCTCTTGCAAGGTAGGAGTCTTTTGACCGATTGTAGGCCCTGGGAATTGTTATAATTTTGTTTAGAAAAGA